CAGCAAAAAACAAAACAAAATGTATTTTTCATTTCACCTTGTATTTTTTATATAAGCAGCTAGGTCTGTCATTTCTCCTTTGCTAAAATTTTTTTTGCCACCAACATCTTATGGTTTTCTGAATGCCGGAAAGCAGTTACTTTTCTTAATCCTTTACAATAACATCTTTTTTAATTTAAAAAATGGAAGTTTTACAGCTCCTTGGATGGCTTTTGGAATCACAATGAAATGCTGAGAAAAATACATTTGTTTTCAATTATAATTTATTTGTTAAATTTCTTTATTATAGCGTACTGAAGTTATGACTATCCTTCCACATTTTTAGTATTAGGAATTATTCCTCTGCAAAAGAACAGAATAGATGAATTCATCAAGATCATTGCTATTATAATGAATCATTAATATTCCAATTTATTTTTCATGATGATGAATAATACATTCAAAATGATGACCCACTCAAAATAAAACATTTGTCTGCACCATATGGGATATAATATATTTAATTAAAATGGTGCAAAGGAAACTGTAGGCAGAAAATTTTAATGATCTCAGCTCTAATCCCTCTTGAAGGTCTTACAATCTCAGTTCTTTAACCATAATCCTACTGCATGTTTACAAGCAAATGAGAGGAATCACACAAGTTGCCACTACTAATTGACAAAGTGATAGGTGCATATCAGTTACATACCTGATTGCACATTCAGCAACACACCTAGCGTGCGCCTGACACTTCGTCAATTAACCACAATCAGTTAGAACAACTTCCATGATTTCTAGGCATGATATTTTTTGGAATTTGTGGACTACAGCCCCCGAACATCTACAGAAATTTACCCAGACCGACTTCTGGGGCTTTAATCAAAAAATCGAAATCCTGATAGCTGGTTTCAAGTTCTTAAGCTTATGTATAAGTATTCAAGAGTACCTTAGCCTTTGAGTAGACAGACAGACAGACAGACAGACAGACAAATATTTCTCTTTCTCTAAAAGACTGACATTTATCTTTTAAAAAAATTGTCAATTGATCTCAACTGTATTTTTTATGGAATCAAAAATGTAATTCTAGATGCAAGTAAGGCCTCAACCACATAGGGGTTCTTACTTTATTTTTTAAAAACTTTCTGTGAATGAGAGATGCTTCTTTTATACCAGAGATGGGGGGGGGGAAATCAAATGAGACATCTTGATAACCATTGGGTTTCTGTTATGGTTCCATTTCAATATAGAGAGCCAACTATTGGAACAGGAAGCTTGTCAATAAGGGAAACCTTGCTTTCAGGTCACTTGCTCAGGTGGGACATCTAAGGTATGTCAGATAATGTCAGTTCATATAGAAATAGTGACAACAGCAAAAGGAAAAAGAATCCAAAAACCATTCAGACATGCAGAACACCATAATTCTTTCCTTCCTGTGACCTAAATGACATGGCAAGAAAACTTCTAAATTCAGCAAGAGATAACTGCAAACCAGCACAATAAAGCTGCATAAATCCCACTGAATTTACTGAGAATTACATAGTCTAGCTATATGTCTAAACAAAGTACCATTATTAGCCACTCTTAGGACACTAATAGTACATGGTTTGCGATGGTTGCCAGATTAATCATTGGGATGCTGTGACACATCAAGAGAGCAAAATACCAGCTGGATAACATTTGCACTTACTTAACCTCACTATCAGTTCTGATCACTTTCAACTGGCAAGATGAATTTAACAGTCCTGAAAAGGGGAAAAGGGAAACCTCCAACACATACCCATCAGTGAGATAACATCCAATAATAATTTTGCTGTAAACGTCTCTGAGCTGAAGACAAAAACACCCCACATTGTCAATGAATAGGGGGCCTCATCACGTTAGACTATGAAACACATGAAATATTTTTTTAAAAAATTGAACCTCTTTGCTGACGACAGTGGTTTCAGATTTTGATACTTGTGGGTATTCTAGTTACCATAACAGCATCAATGTACCTGGTTATCATATCATTTAGTATGAATAAAGTTTAATTCCTCCAACATCCATTACTCCATGATATTAAACAGAAATATACCTGGCGGGATAAATTAAATACAATTTTCCTAGGCAGAATAGCTGTTATCAAGCTGTCCATCCTTTAAACTAGTGGCAGCTGCTCTTCACTGCAGCTGGTGAGGCAGAAGGCACAGCAGCCAAGAGTGGGCAGAACCAGGGAGGGCAGTCTGCTGATCACTTGCTGCTCCCCTCTTCTCCCTCCCTGCCTCTCTCTTTTTATGCACCCATGTACACTCACAGAATGTGATGAGGCTAGAAGTTCAGTAGGAGGAGAGCACAGATGGGCCCTGTACCATTCTCACAGCCTTCCCAGATTCATTGCTAAATCTTTGGCAAAGGCTTTTATCACAAATTATTCAACGGGGGGGTGGGGATCATGGTTCTATAGAAGGGACAGGGAAAGTGGTTTGGGCATTTGTAATCTTAAAATTACTCAGCTTTCCAAATTAGGCAAGATTAATGAACTGTCCTAGGAAAATACTGATCCTCAAGCTTGCCTGAATATAGTTGCCCACTAGAAATTTTAAAAGGGGGAAACAGTAAAACTATAGGGATAACTATTCCTGCCCTGCAAAATAGGGTCATTCAAATGCCATACTAACACCATTTTAAACAAGACCTTAAGAATATGGGGAAAATGGCCAAAAAATTTTTATCTACCCTTTCCCTCCATGTCATTTTTGAGCCACTTGGGTATGACTACATAGCACATACTGTTCTTTGATCCACTGTGAGTCACAGTATTTCAGCCTGGGTCCCTACTGGTTCCCTGAATCAAACAATTTTTGCATTGCCTGGCTCAGCAGAGGCAGAGAAAGCTGCATTTGCACACAGCTCCAGCAAGGGAAGCTGCTTTGATCTCGCCAGGTATTTCCTGGCAATTTCCACACCTTTTTAAAAACTTATTGTTTTGAAGTGACCGCATGCTATTTTGTTAAATTGCTTACTTTTTTAAAAGTAGCATTCTTTGGAGACAACAGGTGCTCAGTTGAGGATACCTGACAACCCTACTAGAATTCCTTTGCTTTCAGATCAGGTGGTCGCATACAGCAGAAAGTAGAGAAAAGTGATGCCAGCTAACCAGAGCAAACTTAAACCACTGGTGCCAGCTGGAGAATAAAAATGAATCCCTACCAGGCTTCCCTACACTGAGCTTTACATTATATAGTTGCCGGGCTTTAATTTGATTTCATCTGTGCCTAATCCAAAGCAAATTGCAGGGTAAACGGCCAATGTAGTCACCTCCCTACTGCTGTATTGTTGACAAATGGGTACAATTTGGCAGTCAAGAGAGACTGTGGTTTATTTCAGCTTTGTGGCCTTTTTATTGTGAAGGATTCAAAACTAGGGGCTTAACTCCAGGACCATCTGGGAGACATCTCAACTTCTTTCTTCCAGAAATAATTCAAGTGGCACACTTAATCTGAATTCCTCATCGAAGAAGAGGTCACAGAGCCTCTCAACACAGCTGAAGAACTGATCATGCTGGACCCAAATGAACATAATGGTTTGACTTCAGAGATCTACAGTTTATTAAATCAAGCTCTTTACTTTCTGGGCTTAATTGGTTTGGAAAGGAGCCTTGGTGTGCTCCTTTAAGTGATTGCATTTGAGGAAAACAATGTGATAAGGTACACAGAGACCAGTTTCAGAAAATATGGAAAGGTCTTATATGAAGCTTATACATTGCTGATGAATGCCTTGGTCAGATGTAAAAAATAAGAGAATCAGCACTAAATTCTGCAGAGGATATACCTGACAGGACGATATGACCATCTACATAATTTTGTTAGTAATGCCCAATATTCACCTTTTCTGGTCACAGGTTATTTGTCCAGTTTCCCTCGCTGTCTCTTTTTAATGTACTGTATATACATACTTACAGAAGGTGAGATCACTCCAACATGAAAATCCGTCACTGGTCATGGAAAATGCCTCCCTTTTGCATAAAGACATAATCGCTTATGTTTAGCTGAAAGGTTAGTAATTGCAGCTAACTGGTAAAAGGCAACACAGCTGTCTCCTTCCTTTTCGGAGAGCGGGATTGGGACATTTGCTCTTATAGAAAAACTAACTGTGCAACTATAAGAAGCAGGCAAGGAAGAGAGCAACAATAAATTATTTACTACTAAGTATCTTTTTATTTAGTATTCTAATTACAGTGCTTTGTCTCACATTTGTCCATGTTTGTACATTGATTTGTGGAGAGATCTACATATAATAATCAGTTTAATTTTCTTTCACCATCGTATAATAACTGAATGCTTGTGCTTGTGGGAGAAGACTCTGTTTCTTAAGGGTACTCACAGTTTTGGCTATGTGTTATAGATCACATATGTCATGTTGATATTTTGTTTTTGTTTTTTTTATTATTATTATTTTAGTTATTGCTATAATGACTGATAAAATTCAATTTTAAACAACCCCAACTAGCTGCAACATACTCTTCACCTATATAGTGTTACAGCCAGTGGTGTTTGCCTGCCAATTGAACAGCATCCAACTGTGGAAATCCTGTGTATCCCCAAACCTGCTCAAGCACATGGGATGCCACTCAGCAGATTTTGGGAAGGAGCATAGGAGGCAATATAGGAAGGGAAAGTTCCAGTGTACACAAAGAAGCCCCTTCGCAAAATGTCAGATTCCTATATACAGTTTGATTTTAATAAAGCCTAACATTACCAAGAGAGCTTACTGGATATGAAATCAGACTCATGAATAAATCTGAATGATGGTATCTAACGAACTCAGCTTTTCATTAAACATTCTGCCCTCCTGTTGTTCTGCTGTTATGTCATGCTGTTGGAGACTAGCATATGCATAAAGTGCTGGAATGTAATTCATCTTTGCCTCCTTGGTAACATCTACTCTATAGTATATCACAAAAGAAGTTCCGCAACAAGAGGAAGAGAGTTGGCAGCTCAGTAATGTTTAAAATAGCATTAGAATAAGACAGCTTGTGGTACCTTGGAATTTGAAGTGGATTCCAAGAAGCAGAGTCTGTTGCCAAATCCTTCTGCGGCAAGGCACAATTTCTGTTGTTCTTTGTGAACAGTAGCAGTGCACTGCAGGACCACTTCATCATCCTATCAAAGGACAGATACACAAACAAAATGAACATCATTAGGGTTTACATGATAGAGAACTTTAGCGTAGCATTTCTGAATCCACAGCAGAAGTCAAGCATGAATAGCAAAACCCAATCCCAGAATTGTTCATGAAGAGTTTTAAATAAGTCTGAATCAAAAACAATTAATCCAAATCTAACTACTGTACTGTGATACACTAAAATTGTGCTTACTGTAAAAATGTTTGAAGTAGGAAAGCTGAATGGCTCCCCATGAGAAGCCACCTGTCTGCAGTGATCTGTCACAATGAGCAACCTCCTGTCTCCATGCCAAATTGATGTTGGTATAGAGGCAAGCAGCTTTTCCATGGAACACGTTGCTATAAGCACATGGCATCCTATATGGAGGCAGCTACCTACTCCAAATTGCATTTTGAAGAAGTCTGCACATGACAGCTTGTTCACTTGCAGAATCTCTATGGTAGGCAATAGGATTTCAACCAATACATATTGTTTTGTAGTAATTTAAGTATATGTCACATCTGTACCTAATTTTCCTCCCTACAAGCTCAGAGTAGCACTTAAACATCAAAATTGCCCCATGAGGCATTTTAGAGTTCTTTTGACAGTTATCAGTAAACATATAAATGGAGCAAGAGGAAGATGTAACAAGCCACTGGGGGTTTGACAATGCAATTCCTAGTTTCACATCACAGTTGTTATGTTCACATAGCTCTACTCTTACAAAGTTTAACGCATTCTAACATATTGTAAATCATGACAAATGTAATTTGGAATAGGCTATGTATTACACAAGGTTTATAAAATCTTAAAATCACAATAATATCACAAACCCAAACCTTGGGGTCTATCAGAACATCAAAATCTATATCTAAGACAAAGAAAGCCACCTTGGGTCCTTTTAGGAAGAAAGCCAGAAAAGGCTTAGTAATAAATAAATATTACTAAGACCGGAAAAAAATTATTATTGTTTAATCAAGATCTGTGCTACACAGAAGCACAGAGGTGATCTAGGCAATGCATATTAAACCTATTCACAAAGCGTCCAAATCTTGACAGTCACTTTCGCTTTACCATCTATTTGTGGACCTGCCAGACTAAAATGAAGTTTGAAAGGAATGTTAATATCCTCAGCACTGAGTAACAACATTGTTTTTTGCACAGTCAGCAGAGCACTTCTATTTGAATCATAAATCTGAGTTAAGAATGACTGAACATTTTTGTGCAATCATAACTATTTGCCACGAATTTGATAATTGACTTCCAATAATCATGGCCCTCAGGCGCAATACTAAAAAGCAGAGAGAAAGGTTAAGTAGATGTCTCTGATATTCACTTCTCATCTTCACTTCTCCATTTTATCAAGAGAATTATGAGTCAGTGTCAAATTGGTTTTCATAAGCAATGGCAATAATATGTACACATTCTGGATTGATTCCTAATATAAATACCATTGCAACTGATTATTTTTTCATTTGGGATGATTCGTTTTAATATTTTCAGTGATGTGCATGTGAAGTTGCAGCATGCCAAGTTGGGCTGTCAGATAAGAACAGTAATTAGAGTATTTGGCTGATTCCATTGCTAACAAAAGCAAGCCTGCAGCTTCTGAGTGGAATTGCTTGGGACTGAAGCACTTTTAAGTTGGTCTAGATATAAACTTTTTAAAAATTAACTCATTCACAACATGCTGTGTCACACATTTGAGCTGTCTAATAAATGAAGAATTGTATGGTGGAAAAGAACTAGGCTTCTTTCCACATTTGCCAGCATGTTTTGTCTGAATTGTTTTGTTGTTGTATCTCATATGTCAGGGCAAATCTAAACATACACAGTGGGTGCAGTGTTTAAAAAACCGTATCTTTTATCCCTTTCATCCACACAGAACATCTGAAGGTTAACATAAAAACCCACTAGTGACAACTGGCATGAGGACTCCCACATTGCAAAAGCAATAGAGATTTGAAATGTTACAGTTCCCAAGCATGAGCATTCCATGCCCAGATGGTTTCTTAACGCCTTCAGACAGGGCTATTATGTTAAAATAGAACTTAAGGTTTATTTGCATCAGAAAGTAATTTTGTTTTTTAGGGATGGAAGTGTTAAAAATAATTTAAAAAAAAAAGAGCACTGTGATGCAGGACAACATCAGAAAGAGATTACAGTACCACTCAAGACTGAAGACTTCTCCCTCCCTACTAGCCTTAGGCAATTCTTTGCACATTCTTGTTATTAGTTAATTTATATTTTGCCCTTCCTCTCAAAGCAGCATATATGATTCTCCTGTTGTCAGCAACATGGACAGGGGATCTAAACCCTACCACAGATTCAGATGCCAACTCTGCCCACACATCTGTTCTGGCAAAACAATTATAGAACCTAACAATGCCACATACAATACCAAAGACACCTTCACTTGCTCCTCCGCTAATGTGATCTATGCCATATTTTGGCAACAGTGCCCCTCTGCACTCCACATGGGACAAACAGGACAATCTCTATGGAAATGGGTCAGTGGTTAGAAATCTGACATCAGAAACCACAACACAGAGAAACCTTTCTCCAATCATTTCGATCCATCAGGACACACTGCTAAAGATTTAACAGTCACTATTTTAGAACAAAACCATTAAAAATCAAGAATACAAAGAGAAACAGCTAAAACAAAAGTTATACACATGATGGACACCCATATAAATGGACTGAATAAAAGCTTAGGTTTCTTAAATCATTACCAAATGTAATACTTCTACTATTATCTATTGCCACTGTTATTTTCTTCATAACTTCCAAGCTCATCTCTCATGACAAGGTTCAAAGGTAAAACATTCAAAAAGGTTTAAGGCTTGAGTCAAGAACTCTTGCAGAACAGTTCCCATAGGAAAATAAGAAAGCTAGCTATACTAGGCTAATATTTACACATTAACAAAATGTCAGCATAGTTTCAGAGAATAAGTCAGGCAGCAGGGCAACAGATGAGTACAGCAGTCTCCTTAGAGATACTGTACTAGACTATAAGTAACTTCCCTCTCACTTTAATACCCATATTCCACTTTCTAAACTCTTCAAGGGGATGCACCAATGAGGATCAAGTTGCCAGGACCTTTCTCAAAGAAGATAGTAACTTCTAAAAAGTAACTGTTTCTCCTCAGCTGAAACCATTCTTTGCTAATTAGTTTTCTATCAAGGAGCCTTGAGGATTCCTTTCTCATAGCAAGAAGGCCAAATGGTATGGCCTCCCATTAATGGGCACTTTCTCCCCCTCTCCAGGCCTGTTCATTCTAAAAGGGCAACTAAACCATGATTCCCCCATTTTCCAGTTTCTTGGCACACATCATGAGAAGATAAAACTCAATGCTAAAGACAATAATGCTGGAAAAAGCAGAAGTCAGCAGGAAAATAGGTAGACCAAATATGTGATTAATGGACTCAATAAAGGAAGCCATGGCCCTTAGTTTGCAAAACCTGAGTATGGTTGTTAATGACAGGGCTTTTAGAAGCCCAGTAGTCCATAGGGTCACTGTATGTCAGAAGCAATCTGACAACTAGCACAACTGACTGGCCTTAACAGAGCAGCTGTTTTAGAAACAAACTCCTGATGAAATCATCAGCAGAGAAATTCTTATTTAAAGACCTCCATGGGGTGGGGTCAGGGGAACAGGGAACTTCAAGATATTGACAAATGAAGTTATAAATTAAAAACCATATGTACGAAGTGCATTATTTAAGATAATCAGGTACAACTTGAAAGAAATGTCTAGATATTTTAACTATATTTCTAAAAGTGAGACTGCAGTACCATATTCAGCCCTTAGCCTGCTCTGTCACTCCCCCTTGCCTGCCCAATAGCCTCTTCCCCCACCCCATTACCCCATCATCCACCCAACTGCCCCCACTCCTTCACCCCCTTGCCCACCTGATCACTCCTTCACCTGCCTGGTCACACCCCTCTCACTCACCCCTACTGGGCTCAATCCCACTGACAATAAACCCTGCAGCTGTGCCAGGTTCTCCTAAAAATTAACAACGTAAATTTTAGTGTACACACAAGGTACATGCACACACAGAGCACTGTGGCAGCAGAGCAAGTTTTTCTGCACCTCTGCCAGAGGCCCATTTATTTGGGGGTGGATTTAGAATCAATTCATTGAAATTAATTCCACATATGTGGATGCTCCATCTGCTTTTTTAAACAAATCTGGTTATATGATACAGTCCTATACAAGATAGCAGCAATTTAAAAAAAATTAAAGTCAATGCTAACTCCCCCCCACTGCTCGCGTGCCTTCACCCATCCAGTTTCCCTCCCTCACTTGCTCATCCTGCCTAATCACCCCCTCAACCTCCTGGTCACCCCCCCTACTCACATGCCCCCTTACCCATTCAGTCATCTTTTCGCCCACCCAGTCACAACCCTTGCTCGCATGCCCTCTTGCTCACTCCATTTCCTGTCTGGTCACCCCTTTGCCCGCTCATCCTGCCTCCTCACTTGCCCACCTACCCACCCCTCAGGCACCAGTCTCCACACCCTCCACCCGCACCCTTTGCCCCTTATTTCCCTTTCCACTCCTCTTGTCCTCCTCTTCCTCCCTTTCCCTTCTCCCCACCGCTGCCCCCCTCCCAGTGGAAAAGACACACCTGAGCAGAGATGGAGATGGTGGCAGCGGTGAGGATGCACACACTGCCAAAAAAGTTTTGAATTCAGGCAAAAGTCCATGTGACTTTAGCCAAAAACAAAAAACAAACAATCCCTCTGCCTGTTTATTCTCGTTAATAAACTGATACAGCCATTTAGCTATGAATGCATAAACTAGTGTGAATATTATGTTTCCTAACACAAATAATTCTACGTAGCTAGTGGAAGAAGAGACTACAATGAGTGGCATTCTAAAATGACCAAAAATCACTTTAAACTGAATGAATTTGATGGAGCATACATTTTTAGAGATTCAGTTGGGCAAGGTATTTTTGTTTTCTATTTGTTGCTTTTTTCCTCGA